ATAGGAAACCACGACGCGAAGCGTGTAAACACGGAAACCATTTTACATTTCTTTTATAAAATAACTAATAAAAGAGCCTCTTCTTGCAACGAAGGAAAGCGACGTGCTTGTTGTTGTTGTTCATTTGGCTTTTCGGCCGTTTCCTGAATACTGGGAAAATTAAACTCCAAAAAAAAATTAGGAAAATCTTCTTCTTCCATTACTGTACTCAAAACAAACTTAAAGAAACTGAGTTGCTGCTAAATAAATAGCAAGGAGAACTCCGCGAGAAGATTCAGTATGAAAACCGTGTTTTCATACGCTCATGTAAAATGGTTTATAGCCAATCAGAGCGCGCCTACTATTTGAATTATTTTATAAAAGAAAATATTGAATTCTTCTCAACCCTTTAAACCCTAAGAGTGATTGGCATCAAACTTCTCTCTACAATATCATCCCTGAATCACACGTCAAGGTCAGGAGAATAAAGGAAATGATCACCAACGAAAGGGGCTTTTGATTGGTAAACAAATTCTCCTTGTCAGCACCTTAGGAAATGTATGAAGAGCAGTATGGGGAATATACATACTTATTTTAGTGTGTAAAGGGTGAAAACTAGTATATCAAAATACGAATGAGGTACCAAGCACAAGTATGGCTTTTCACCATGATAGTTTCCAGGTTTGAAAAAAGTCACTGCCTACTTAAATCCTCAGTTCCTTTGCCTTGACCCCGTCAAAACATTGGCAACAGGAGTGATTAGCAAATTAATGATACAGACAAGAGAGCCTATCCCCACATACACCCTCCTCAATCCTGTTAGCTTACTATGGACACAGCATTTTAAACATAGTGCATATGCCACAAATTTTCTATTTCTCCGACTAATTATTTTGTAATAGTGTTTCCAAGATGTAGAAAATGTTTGGGTTGAAACATAATACAGATTTGCCAGTATAAAGTCAAATGAGAAAGTTTTACATATCAATAAAATTTATTTTTGGGTTTCATGTTCACATGTTGCAACAATTTCATCTTCCAGTAAATTTAATTATTTGCAAGCATGAGAAAAATACCATCTAAAACTTTTTAACCCATTTAATATAGCTAATAACAACGTCAACTCAATCTTTAAACTCAAGAGAAAACTTGATCGCTGTTTGGAATTAATGTCTGTAACATACAAATAAAATCCAGGTATTATCTCAGGTTTTCTACCAATGTCTTCATGGTCGAATCCTAAGTCTCTCTTCGTCATCAAGTTTTAATCATGATATTCTAGTTCTTGCTTATCTTTTTTGAAATCAAACTTTCGTAGCGTAAGAATCATGTTAGAAAAATTTCTTATTTCAGTAGCTTGGTGTAGATTTACTATGATCATGGACAGTTGGCTTAAAGACACCTACATTATATGTGGTTACAGCAGGGGGTACAAAATTAAATAAAAGAAAAAATCTGAAAAAGACGCCGTATATTTCCAGCCTGAGGACAATCATGAAGCAAGAATAATCAAATGCAAAAAGTAAAACAAAATAACAGGTTTAAACACGAGCTGAAAATTACTTCTCTTTTTAAAAATCTACGCGTATCAGAGGAGTTTGAAACGTTAGGGAAAAACGGTGGGGAAGGCAGTCATACCTGGCAACGTTCAAAAGAATATAATTTCAATTGTTGATGATATCATACACTTCATCTGCAGAAGAAAATATTCCTTATCTTCGAAAATTTGCCCAAAACAACAGGAACAATAACGTTACAGTTTTTATTATAATGGAGGGCTGGAAAATAGACTAACTAGAGCTCCCCTGGCTTAGCTAAATCTACATATTATTTAACTCAATCATATTATAAAGTTAAAAAATACAATTCCCTATAATTAGAAGACGCCATGTTTTCCTACTGTTGGTGGTTTTAGACTGGCAACTGAAACTTATAACTGTAGTGATGAAACTCTTTGGTTGGAGCCTAAATAACGTAGAAGGATATAAGTTCTCGGACGAAATTATGGACAACGCAATGGCTGATAACAGGCGACGGATTAGCATTACAATCTCAAAGTATTGCTGATACCTTGCAGGACCAGGCCATGTATCAGGTTTCTCAACCTCTTCAGGGCTCATACTGTTTCTTTTCCGAAAGATAAAGAGCATACGTGAGGAGAGAAGCAAAGGAACCCAACAACGTAGACCACTACGCGTACGGAGACAAAACCAAGAGCTGATAGTGTTTTGTAAGTGACAGATGTGCATTCTATCCAAGGGCAATTTGGCATGTAGAACATCACGGTCATTTTGGCATAATCGTAATTATCTTTAATTCTAAACCTACTAATCCAACATATTGATAATGTGTGCTGCAGATATTGTTCCAAGTGTTCCATCAGAACAACAACTTTGCCCATCCCTTCCGCCCGTTGTTTTTTAATATTCTGTTTGTGAAGGATAATTGTTCCGTATATTGCTGAGTTTTTCAGGGTGTCTTTTGATATCTGGAGAGTTATCTTACGATCGGTGTGTGTCTCTATCATTGCGCCATTGCGGATATTTTAAGAGCATTAATTTTCTTTGATTGGTTCAAAATAGTTTTTTATCCCTTTGATTTCCCGCAAGATCTCAATTTTAAACGCTTTTTCTTTTAATTTTTTTAAAAAACTGAACTCTATTCAACATTTTATGTAACCCTCTCTTCCTTGTCGTTGCCGCAGTTCGGACAAAGGCTACAACAAGGCGGAAAAAGGAGAAGAAAGGAAGAGCTTATATAAAAACAAAGCCCTACTCTTATCATCCAAATGAACATTTGGATTAACATTTGATATCAGTCCAGCGGTTGGGAGTCGCCTTAAGCAGAATAAGCAAAATTGTTCTACAATGTCTTCGTATTCTGAAACGCGATAAACTGTGACTCAATATGAGCTTGATTCGTAAGGTTTAATGGTGAAAATAAATCATTGGAATTTCAGCCTTCGGGTTAAAGATTGTACACTTAATTTTCAGTACCACAATCCTAAAGGGTGAGCAAACCGTTTATCAAAGAAAGAATATGGATTTACCAAAGTGAAATTGCCGAATTCCCTAGAATATCAGATAGTGAAAAAGGAAGTGAAATTGATATCTTTCACGAGAGATGGAACAATATATATATATATATATATATATATATATTTAAGCGGAATTTGACAACTCTTTGCAAGAATGCTTAGCAACTTTTTCAAACATATTCAAAATGATGAACTTGATGTTACTAATGTCAGTATTGCAGTATTCGATTAATGTTCGCATTGTAAATAGTATAATAATTTTAGGACTTAATTGTAAGCCGCTAATTGCAAGTAATGTATCGAAACTGAAATATTTTAAGTATGTCGAAAATAAAGATTTATATTAAAACAATTGATAAAAGCCCCTCCTTTAAAAAAGCTCAGTACGCTCTTCCTTAAAGTAAAATAGAATTAGGTGTGGCACAGCATTTCGATGTAGCTCAATCAAAAGTTAAACGTTGCATAGGCGGCCCAAGCTCACGTCTCGAGAAGAAGCCAACGTTCAATTAATGAACGCGACACGTGTTGTGTGACTCGGTGTTGAGTTACGAGAGGAACCGTTGAAAATTGGTTCATCACTGTTATTCATGTTAAAATGCATGAATAACAGTGATGGTAAAGCAGGCCTAAAACAGCAGAAATCGCCAGAAACTACAACAGACACACAGGATATGAGTAAGTTTTATTGATTTGCGTGTATAATATTCATATTTCGAAATATTTATCGTTGTAAATCGACCATATTTCGTTCCCCATACTATTTCTTATTACGTGTACAAATTTTCAACGGTTGCTCTCGTAACTAAACACCGAGTCACACAACGCGTGACGCGTTCAGGAATTGAACGTTGGCTTCTTCTCGAAACGTGAGCTTGGGCCGCCTGTGAACGTTGGGTACTCGAAGAACAGAAACATCGACTGCAATACTCTACACAGAAGTCACCTATCAATTTTGCAGCCAAGCTTAGGGCTGCATTCGCGTACTCAGCTGATGGCGAGCTCTTATGTGACGATAAGTTTTTGGTTGGGGCAGTAATCTTTCACTCCACAGCTAAGTGATTAACTGTAAACTACTTGCCTGAATGAAAAATGTGGGTAAATTAAACTAAGAGCAGGGGCTTGGCTAAGAGGAGGGCAAATTTTTGGATACGGGAGTCTGTCGGAAGTAACTGAACTTGGACCAAACTTCAATGGATTTGCTTTCATCCAAATGTAACTCGTAAATTACGTTACAGTTTTACCGTTTATTTTGAACAAACAATGAAAGTAACACATCAGAAGAGATAAACATGTTCATTTTACGTTTTTCAATTGTGAAGTGAATTATTTACCACCTCAACAATAAAATAAAACCAAAAAACTTCTTATAATCGATAGATTTTTAAAATTTTCACGAAGGTGTACATCATTTAGAATGAGATCGCTAATCAATCTTCGCTAAACGCTGGAGGGTAACCTTACGATGGACTAGCATCCTATCTATGGGGGAGTAGTGATACTCCTAGCCACTTCATGGTAAGGAAATTGGGATAACATGTCTGCTTCGATTCCTTCGGTAAAGGCTCGCCAAAGACGAAACACCAGCATTTCGATTGAAATCAAAATAACTAATGTCAAATAAGACCTAAAGTTACGATTGTAACCTCACGATTATAAGCGCACGCAACCTCTTGAATAAGCCGTGAAAGAGGAGGATACGCTCTAGCCTTGCTTAACCATTTACGTATTTGGGTATATAAAACGATTTTAAAGAATGCAGAGCTACCTAATTAGTCCATTGAATACAGTGTTCTATTGATTATTCTTCAGTCACGTAGCATCCATGCAAGGCACTGTTCCACAATGGTTTGGCCCATAATAAAGAAAGACATTCTGGTGTTGAGTTTTCATGAGTATAACCAAACCTATGCAATCGAACGATCAGATTTTTCTAGAATAGGATCAGACCTTAAACAAAGTTATCCACTTCATCGTTTCTCCACCGTCATCCGTTAACAGGAAGCAAATTATCCCTTTCTGCGCACTCACCGTCTCGACCATTTCTGCCATTACTGTCGACCTGCCCAGTTAAAACAAGCCGGTAGAAAATAGTACCCATCAGTAAAAGTAGAATGCAAGAATTAACAATCATCACCATCCAAACGTAAGTTGTCCTGTAAATAAAGGAGATTTCCAAGGCCGAGAACCTTAACAGGATGAAAGACATAGATAGCGCCAACAAAACGAGAGGCTCAAAAAAGTTTTCAGAAGCAAACCTGTGAACATTATCCTCATCGCCATAAGGATGCAAGCAGAGATGAATAATAGCAAAGCCAACCAGAATTACACAGACCATAAAGGTCTGTAACGTAGAGGAAGACGAAATCATGGATAGCGCAATGGCGAGCATTAAGCGACGGAGAAGCATAACGGTCTCAAAGTACCGCTGATACTTTTGTTTGTAAGGTAAATATGCAGGACCAAGCCATGTGTCAAGTTTATCACGATCGTCTTGGTTCATGCTGTTCCTTTTCCGATGAAAGAAGAACACGAGTGAGGCGAGAAGCAAAGGAAACCCAATCACGTAGACCACTACAGAGACAAAACCAAGAGCTGTAAGTGTTCTGTAAGTAACAGATGTGCATTCTATCCAAGGGGAATTTGGCATATATAGAACATCACGGTCATTTTGGCATGGGCGTAAGATGGAAAGAGTTTGCTTTACAACTGGAAAGTAAGTGAAACTTAAACAGAAAAAGGCACTTTGACGGCATTTAAAGTGAACATTTTCCATTCGTTGTTCTTGGGGACGAACCTTGTTGTAGCTCAGCATAACTATAAAGTAGACACCCACAAGTGCCAAGCAACCAATTGGAAGAAGGAGAATAAAAGCAAACTTTCCAACAGGATTGAACAGGGAAGGAAAATCGCACGAAAGCGAAGGGAAATACAAATTCCAGTAGCTGCTCAAGTACTTCTGAGCTGCAACGATCTTTGGAGGCCAGACATTGGAGCTCGATACCATAAAATCCATGGTTTGCATATAAAACACTGCAATGCTGATAAGAGACTTTGTACCTTTTCCTCGACTAGTCATGCACACAACAAAAACCACTAAGTTCAACTTGAAAACCCAAGTGGGTAAAAATTCCAAAAGCATAAAGATCAACGTTAAGAGGAAATGTGTTGCTGTAACAAAAAACCATTTAATAGGACGCAAGTTGAAATAAAAAAGTGACCAAAGCAGAACCAGGAAAGAAATGGCAAAGATAGGGATGAACACGTAGTAGTAGCGAAGATCTCCTTTCACACATAGGTAACACAATCCGCCAATTTTATAAAATCCTTCTTCACAATGAGAACAGAACCTGTCAGTGTTTCCTGAATGACAGATACAGGATTCATCGCATTTTGTGATCAGAGTCGACACCGAACGCTTGTTATTGAAGGAGTAAGAGTCGTCGTTATGTGATGTGTCGAGGCGACAGGTACAGGAAGCCATTGGATTGCAAGCAGCAGGTACTGGACACTTGACGAGATGAGTAACATTTTTAGGATCAGGAGATGGCCAATAGCCAGGAGCCATCTTCATGATGTTTGGACTAGGGTCTTCTTGGACCGTCACAATAACTTGGTCACACGTTCCACCATCCATACATGATTTGCATAATCCAAGGCTTCCGTAAAAATGTGGATCACAAATACAATATTTGAACTCGTAAAATGCAGGATCCAAACGAATGCGACCATTGTTGAACGTTAGGTGTCCTTCGGGACATGAAAAGTTGTCGCCTCTAGGTGGTTTGACCATCCTTAAAAAGTCTGGGCGAAAGGCTTCGGTCGATGGGCCGTTCCCTTCACGCATGGAGGGATTTCCAGAAATGTCCAAGTACTGGAGGGAAATTAAATTCTGAACTCCTGCTGGAAGGCTTCCTGACAAGTTATTTGATGAGATGTCAAAATATGTTAAATATGAAAAGTCACCCATAAAAGCTGGTATGGCTCCGTAGAACTTGTTCCCTCGCAAATCGCAAGTGGACATTTCTTTGAAGTAAAGCAAGATTCCGGGTAAGGGACTCTCAATATCGCAAAAACTGAGATTTAGAACCGATAAGCTCGTGTCAAACTCGGACATTCTCGAGAAAAGCTCCATAAAGCTTGAAATATTAATTGTTAAATTCCTATTTCCTGCAAGCGAAACGAAGGATTTAACACTCCTGTTTAATTTGACAGACAATGGCTTCCCGTTGTTTATCGAGGAAAACTTGTTCTGTGACAAATCAATCATGGAAGGCAGATAACTGAGTAATTCACCAGGAATGTCTCCAGTGAGCTGATTGTTGGCAACATTAAGAACATCAAGGTGATGTGTTTTCGGAATGTTTTGAAAAAAATGACCCGTAATGTTATTCCCTGGTAAAACTAGGTGGGTCAGGTTAGGTGGCAGTGTATTTGGTAATAGTCCTGTTAGCGGTACACCTGATACATAAAGTTCAGCTAAGGTGGGGATTGTAAAAAGGTCATTCAGATATCCCTTCATGAGACCAGGAGTGTTTCGGAGGTCAAGATACCAAAGTCTTCGTAATCTGGATATACTGCTAGGTATTCGACCAGTGAATTTGTTCCCTCCGAGACATAGAAGTCTTAACTCTGTCATATTCCCAATGTCTACTGGTAAGTTACCAGAGAAGCCCTCCCCGTTCATTACGCAGCCTAGGAAAATGTTCAATTTGTTTAGTTGCACGATGTCCTTCGGGATTTCTCCAGATATAGAGGCTGCATTGAAAGCAATCGACAGCAGACTGCTCATATTTCCAAACAAAAAGTCTCCAATGCGTCCTCGGAGTTTTGGGTTACCAGGCGTGCAAAGCGACAACAAGTTACGTATCTTCCACAGATTGGAAGGAAGAACACCATCCAGGTTGTTGTAAGCCAGCACAATGGTTCTTACATATGAATTGTTGTAACAGGTGATACCATACCAAGAGCAGTGGGAATTTGAGCTGTTCCATCCTCCACTTTCATACCACTGTTGGCCATTTGTAGATGTGTAAAGATCAAGGAGAACATTCCTTTCTTGCTCAGGTGTAAACGAGAAATCATATGACAACACAGGGAATGTCCATTTATAACTGACAAACCTCTTTAAACAGTCATGACCCTCGTTGCTCAGGAACACATCATACCCTGTAGTTAAAGAATTGGAAGAGTCATAATAAGGAAAATAGCTAAATGAATAATTTTGTTAATGATTACCCTCCCCTGGGGATGGGAGGGGAAGGATTGGGATTGGTGGTAAGATCCACTCTACGAAGTTTCGTGCGGGAATGCCCCGCCTGGATACATACCTTTCGCGTTTTAAATGTAATTTGACTAAAGAGTTACCCGTGTATATATTTCATCTGTGGTAAATGGGTCCACATTCTTGTACGTTTAGTTAAGCAACAGATTCCTTAGTGTTAAAAGGATGTTAGAAAAGCAGTGAAATTATTTTGCTAGAAAATAACAAACTTTAGTGTGCTCTTCTTTAAAACCATTTGCTAATTGAAAAACACATAACCGAGAACCATTTGTACCCACAGATATTACGAAAGTTTCCTTAAGATCTTCCATATCATGTAAAATGTTTCGATAATTTGCTTTATGCATTGCAAGAAGTTAGCGCTAAGTACTAGAAATGAGCATGGCGTTGAGCCAAACCGGAACTGATCAACATAAAAGGTGTGTTATCGCTGTGATTAACTAACCAAATTCTAAATTATGTCACTCTGAAACTGAGGTAAGGGCTTCCGCCTTCACGAATTATTACCATTAGAAATTTCAAGGATGTTTTACAATTCAAAGGAATTCTACGCAGACCTCTCTCGTGCACCTGATGTTCGTGAAGATGATGTACAATGGGAGTGGAGCTTGATATCTAATGAATCTGCGATGAACATGTACCTTTTAACATGATTAAAGTCTGCAGTAAGGGCGACCCGTAGACTACAAATGAAATAAGGAAAAAGATGAATTACAGGTATAACCTTTTCAAGTCTACTGTGAGTACTGGAGACGAAATTGCCGGGGTGAGTTACAAGAAGGTCAGGAATGAAAGAACAACCAACGCAAGACGAGCAAAAGTTAGATTCTTTTGTGAAAAAGTTGATTCAGCGAAATCCACTTCTCCTTATTGGAAAGTACTCTCCAATGTTGAAAACCCTGAGAGAAGACCCCAGGTTAGACCAATAAAGCTAAATAATAAAACCCTTGCTGTTCTAGATGACAAAATGCAAACCTGATTAATGCCTTCGTAACAATGAGAAAAGAAATTTCGAGAAACCCCATTTGATGTTATGCCAATTCGAACTGTAGCGGCACCCGTGTTCCGCCCTTTTTTACGTCATGTATGCGTCGCGGATTTCTGCTCATGCGCGCTAGTTTTGTTATGTTATTGACCACGCGGTCCGATTCTAGAGCCCGGAAAGGCGTAAGTTTTTACCTTTCTGCTTGCCGTTTTCCAGTTTTTCTGTATACCAACTGTACATCTGTACATCTAGTTTGATAGATTCACTTCTTTAGCGATTTGGAGATGTATTACGCGTGTGGATTTGTGATTAAAGCTATGATAATCTGTTCAAGTCAAATGGGTGTTTTGGATTTCGGACCCGCGCTGGCATACGAACAATTTCACCCTTTTCAATTTCTTGAGGAGTCGGTATCCAAGAAAATTAGTTTCCTAAATTCTAACAAGGTTGCGGGATTGGACTGGATCGTCCGCAAGTTGCTACGGTTAGCCGAGCCAGCAATCGTGTCGCCTCTTACTAAGCTGTATTCGATGAATTTTGACAAAGGAGATGTTTTTAGCCAATAAGAGAAAGCTCACTTATGCCCCCTTTTTAAAAAGGACGATCCTTCTGACAGGAGTAACTATCGACCCACCTTTCTTCTAAGCGTTCCAAGTAAGATCTGTGTACATCTGACACAATTTTCAAGCATTTTACGGAAGGCGAACTACTAACTGAGAGACAACGGGCTTACCGCAAGGGCCACTCGACCCAGTTATTAATTGCAGTTGCTTTTTTCGCAGGTTTTATCAAATTAACGACTTGGGTTGATGTAGTTTGCAAATTTTACTCTTAATTGTCTTTAGAAATAGAGTTGAATATACAGACATTGTATATGTCTAATCATCAATGCAGTTTCGAAACCTGTAATAGTTTTCAAATGTCAGCTGAGTCATGAGCACCAAAAATAAGCCGTGCGGGGAATTTTTACAGAATTGGTTGGCGTCATTTAGCAACCGATATAAATATGAATTGCAAAGAAGTGAAACATAATTTGCAACCTCATGATTCCGCTCGTTCATATAAAATAAATTTGCCAACAACAGACCTTTAAGACGACAACGTTTCCTGATACAATTTAGAAGAATAAAACAAAAAAGCATTTAAGAAGAATACGTTTCCTGATACAATTTAGAAGAATTAAACTGTAGTTTCAAAACCTGTGATAGTTTTCAAATGTCTGTCGAGTCATGAGCACCAAAAATAAGCCTCGCTGGGAAATTTGTAAGAAGGCAACGTTTCCTGATACAATTTCGAAGCCATCTCGAATCCCGATCAACTAGATAAAAGATAAGTCGCTTAAATAACGAGGAGAGAATTTTTCATAGCGAGTAAGGCGTTGATAGGTCAGCTTGTTGAAAGGCACGGAGAATAGGACACTTCGGAGAATGTGGATAGAGATCCCACCTTAGTCTTAAATACGACATCCCCCACCACCTCTCACCCCCTTCCCTCCCTTAATTCCGCAGCCCAATGCCTCTCCCCAGTCCCTCCCCCTGCGCGGTCCCTGAAGACGTTAAAAAACGATCTGAATAGGAAAAATGCATGTTAATTACAGTCACTGAGAGTAAAACGCGTTCCAGAAACAAGAGCAGGTTTCACTGAACAGATTTCCATGGAAAGCAGTATTTCTTTGCAGAGTTCTCATTCCAGATGGAATTCAGGTGAGAACATCAGTAAACAAGTTAAAATCATATGCTTCTCCTGAATCTTTAATTTTATTACCCTGGTTTTTTTCAGAAACCCTATTTTATATCTCTATGTGACAGCCAATGATTAAAACCTCAGTGAATAGATATGCTATATTTAGTGGTTTTTTTAAATCCCATCTTTTTGTTTTTGGCATTTACTATTTCAAAATTCATAAATGGTATTCCCTCTTCATCCTTGAAAAGAGATATTGCACATTTCTTAAACTAAAATATGAATTATGAAGTCAACTTAATTTCAATGAGTTTGAAACTTCATTCTACATAAGAACACTTTACTGGCGTATACTGTTATATTTATTTGCTGTCTTTCTTTAACACATAATTACCATATGTGTCTCAACTCTTTAACTCCCAAAATTTCATGAATAATCCTCCTTATTGTCTGCCATACAATTTATGTGATGTTAAATTTGAGAATTTGGAATTGGATCAATCAATCATCCTCAAATTTATATTTGTCTTAATTCTTGTTACTTGTCTGCTTTATGTCATACTAATAGTGTAAGGAGAAATTCTGTCTAGGTTAACAGTGGGACTTGTAACAAGCCAGAACGGGCAATGTAGAGGAGAACACATACAAAACCAAGATGTCGGACCAACAAGATATATTTTAATATAAGAAAACAGATGTCGTCAGTGGACCACGAGGTCGTGACAGTATCACGCAATATTGTTACAGGACTTAACCCTTTAACTCCCAAGATCTCATTAGTAATTCTCCTTACTATCTCCTATACAGTTCTTGTGATGTTTGTTTGGAGGATTTAGTATTGGATCATCTTATAATCCCCTAACTGATATTTTTCTTATTCTCATCACTTGTCTGCTTGATATTGTTTTGATATTGTAAGGAGAAATTCTTTCTTGGTCACTTATGGGAGTTAAAGGGTTAAAATGGGGGATTTCAACATATTGTAATGATTAAAATATTCTTATGCTTTCAAATGTACCAGTAACAAAAAAATGTGATGAGAATCTGATGATATGAAACACTTGCAATGGAAAAACCTGTTGCTGGTAGCTTATGTCTTTAATGCTTAAATTTTCATGGGAAATGCTTTTCTTTGAAAGTGGGGATACAGAAGTTTTTAAGGCTGATAGAAGTAAGCTGTTTGCAATTAATAAAAGGCAAATTGACAATCATACCTTAATGCTTGACATGCTTCACTCATACATGTCAGTTGTGTGTACCTACCATTATAGAGGTGTCTTTAAAAAGGTTTTTTTTTTTATTACACAAGGCAACCTTCAGAGTGGAAGAGTAGAAGACCACAGAATGATGTTTACTTGGCATTTGTACTTAATGCAATCATATATTCAAGCAGTACTCTCTATATATATAACTGATTACATGATGTCTTTAACCCTTTACACTCCAATATCAGAATGCATATTCTCCAAACTGTTCTCTATATATTTCCTTATGTGCTGGCAAGGAGCATTTGTTTAAAAATCAAGAGGTTCTTCAGCTGATTATCGTTTCCTTTATTCTCATGACCTTAATGTGTGACTCAGGGGTGATATTGAATGGAGAATTTAGATGCTAGTCACTCTAAGGGATTAAAGTGTTATTAGCTGTACACATTTTCATGTATATGCTCCTCGCATTTGTTGGCAACAATAGCTAAGATTGTTAGGAAAGCAAACAAACAAGTGAACAGAAGACAGTGAAATGAGGGAAACTGTAAACTTTACCATGTGATAGAAAAACATCACAGAATACTTAAAGAGGGGAAACTTAAATTGTGCTAGCTAATTTCCTCTATTGCCATTCATGTTTTTGATCAAATAAAATTTAACCCTTTAACTCTCAGTTCAAATTTGTAATTCTCCTTTCTGTCAACTATACAATTCTTATAATGTTAGTTCTAAGAATTTAGTATTGTATCAACTAATTATTCTCAATTCTATATTTTTCTTTATTCTCATCACTTATCTTCAAATTTTCAACTTTGTATTGATTGTAGCTGTTAACTATGTCTTAATTCTCTGTACCATAAGCCCTCAAAAGTTGAAGCAGGCAAGTCAATAACCTGACTTCCTTTGTTTGGAATTGTGTGATTATATAATTTTGCTGTGTTGGTTACCATACTGTAACATGTAATATTATTATTTAGATTGCATTAAATACACTAGCTCAAGCTTTTATTAATGCATGGTGTTTCGTACCAATGGTCCTACACAAACTGAACATTGAAATAAGGAATTGGTCACAAGATATGTGAGTTTAAAAGGGTGGGAATCTGGAAAAACAAGGATCCTCCTTGAAATTAATGGGGGCCCTCTTATTTTAATTCATGTTTATTAATTTAACCTGCCTCCTCCCCTGTAATGTTCGGGGCACATAGATGAAGAGAACATTTTTTTTGTATTTTGATGCATAAAAGTTAAATTACCAGTAATTGGCATCCACATAATCACAAAACAAGAATGTAAAGCTTTAGCTTAATTGGTTAAAAAATCAAAGTAAGGGTGTTTTGCAGACTGTGTCTGACTTTTTATCCCAGCTCTGGATATTTATTTAAGTAACAAAGACTCTATCAGTCTCATTCACTCTCACTTTCCACTGAGCTTGTGGAAATATGATAACATCATTTCTTTAAATGAAGAAAGGAAAGCCTGCCCTCTTACCACGGATAGTTCTGTAGGGCATCATCAGTTCAAGATGATTGTTCCAGGTAGGCTAACCTTAAAAATTAGTTGTGAAAATTTCTTGAACCTGACATTGTACATCTTGAATGTTTGACTCAATTTTACCTCACCGACCTAAACTGAATAAATAGAAACATGAAATTTATTTGTTCTCCTTTTGAGGTGTGCATCAAAATTTCGAAGTCATCACAGGCTTAAACTATAGGTTGCATGTGCATGTGTTTTCAACATATGAAACTGGGATTATGACTTCTTCAAAAGACTTTACTACATGCCATATAGGTACAGGCAGGTGTTGTAAAAAAATTTTGCTTAGCTTTTTCATTAGTACACATTTCTTTTTCTAAGAACCTTGTTTATCCAGCCTGTGCTGAATTCCAATTTTTCAACCAAATTTTATTATTTTTTTAACATCATTAAATCTCCTAGTATCAGTTAATATTCTTGTAATTAAAATAATTACATCAAATCTTGCAGATGTATGGCAGATTATTTTTTCTCTGAACCTCCTAACATTTTACCATTCGAAGGGACTGGTATTGGCTATAAAAGTATAGTCAAATTAAAGGTTTTTGCACAACCTATGCATCGAGTTTTTGTTATAAAATATTGTATCCTTCTCAAAACAGTTTTGAGAAGGATACAATATCTCACGCGAAAACGTTCCTTACGGTATCCGTTCGAACGGTCGAACGCACGGTATGTGAACGGATGACAAACGGATAGAGAAACCGTTTAAAACGGATGCCATGAACGGCTAAACGGCTTCAGAAAAATTTCGAACGGTTGAAGTCGAACGGCTGAACGGCTAAAGGAAAATTTCGAACGGTTTAAGTCGAACGGTTGAACGGCTAAAGGAAAATTTCGAACGGTTGAAGTCGAACGGCTGAACGGCTGAAGTTTTCAACGGATAAGGTCAAAGTAAACGGTTGAACGGTCGATCAAAAACATTCGAACGAAATGACAGTAATTAAGATAAACGCGACACGCGCTGCTTAGATCTGAAAACTGATAGAAAACCTCGAATAAATCTAATCCTGTTTTGAAAATAATAAGTCTTTTGAGAGTAAAGCAAATTCGTTTTCGCGGGGGAGAAACAAAAGCCGGTAATAGTCTGCGTTCTCTTTTAAAATAATTGTCATGCAACCATTTCCAGAATTCGTAATGTAACGCCATCTCGTTTCCGAACACAGGCAACGCTTTCCCCACCATGTATCTTCAGAACAGGCACAATTTATAGTGACAATTTTTACGATGTGCCGAGTAATTTTCGCTACCTTGAGTGCAAGCAATTTTTTTAAGTTAACAAAGAAGCGGGTGCCATTATTTTTGTCCGCAACGTTGATGTGAGTGTGTAAAATAAAAGCGAATCAGCGAGGCATGCGGATCGAAATTCTACAGTTTTTATTGGACAAATGGAGAGTAATTGTTTTCAACTTAGCATATGAATAACACACACGCTTTGTATTTGCATTGATAATGAACTGATGAACGGCTGATGAACGGCTTACGAACGGCTATCCGTTTCAAAACGGCAAACCGTAAGGAACGTTTTCGCGTGAGAGGTCACTAGTTTATCAGAATAAGAACGAGTTACTGGGAACAAGTATGGCTTTCATGATGATAGTTTCCAGATTTGAAAAAAAGTCACTGCCTACTAAAATCCTCAGTTCCTTTGCCTTGCTAGCCCAACCTCATCAAAACATTGCCAACAGGAGTGATTAGCAAATTATTGATACAGACAAGAGGGCCTCTTCCCACATACATCCTCCTCAATCTTGTTAGCTTACTATGGTCATGGCATTTCAAACATGGTGTATATGCTACAAGTTTTCCATTTTCCTGACTAATTACTTTGTAATAGTGTTTATATGTTGAGGAAATGGTTGGGTTGAAATATAATACAAAGACTTGCCAGTAGATAGTTTTATTACAGTTTTTATTCAGTGTAACGTAGGGCTGGATAATAAACTAATAAGAGCTCCGCTTTTAGGCTTGGCTAAATCTATTTATTATGCTCGATCCGTTTGCCCGTGGGCTGCATCCTGACGTCAGTTTGTTTTGCTTTTTTGTTTTCTACACGAAATGAAAGATGTTTGAAAGTCTCAATGTTATAGAAGAAATGGCTAGCGTGCAGCGTGCAACCATTAAGTTATGGATACACTGAAGAGGTTTTCCTAGCACTCAAGAAGGTAGAGTTGCACTCGGCTATCGCCTCGTGTAACTCTTATGCTTCTTCCGTGCTCAGCAACCTTCCGCGTGCATCCATAACTCGATAGTTGTTTAGATTTAATCAGATGACTCAAGTGTTTGCTGCGCCATAACTCTATTCTCTTGTACTCACCATAAGTATCTCGAGGCCACGATGCTTCAGCTTGTCCAACTTGCAAACCAACTATTTGGTAAAAAACGATGCCCAGGAAAATAAACTTGTACCTCCCATACTGAAACGGAAATTTGATGCTTTTGGTCCGCGAAGCTTCCTTCTGGGTTCCGAACTTGGCCATGTTTTCAGCTCTGTAAGAGTATCGTTTACACAGTGTTCCCTTAAATTATCAAGTGAACTAAAATAATAAAATCGAGTATATATATAATGAAGCGGTGAATAAATTAAAAGCTAAACAAAGAGTTTGGCCCTAATGGAATCGCTCTGGGTGTTTAAATTGGGCCTTATTGTTCTTATGTACAACATTTCATAAACAATCTTAAGAAACACTTGAACTGAAAGCACGTATCAGGAGTTTCAGAAGAAGCGGTTCCTAGATATTTCGAACAGGAAATGAGGACTGAATATCGTTACGGCGAGTCTTGGATGGCTTCATTCTAAACTGCGAGTAAGAAGCAAGTGAGCAAAGCACAGTTGCTTTCTTCGCAGGTCAAATTAACAAATTAACGGCTTGGGTTGATGTAGTTTTTACTCTTAATTGTCTCTATAAATAGAGTTAAGATGAACAGACATTACATATGTCCAATCATCAATGTTACAGAGTTGGTTGGCATCAGTTAGAAACAAGTGTAAATATGAATTGCAAAGAAGTTAAAGATGATTTGCCACCTCATAATTCCGCACGTTCATATAAAATAAATTTGCCAACAACAAACCATTAGGAAGACAAAGTTTTCTGACACACTTTAGAGGTATAAAACTATAGTTTCGAAACCTGTAATATCAAATGTCTGCCGAGTCATGAAAACCAAAAATAAGCCGTGAGGGGAATTTTTAAGAAGACAACATTTCCTGATACAATTTAGAAGAATAAAACGTTTAAATGACGTAGAGAAAAATTTTCATAGCGAATAAAACGTTAAGAGGTCGGCTTATCGAAACGAACTGAGAACAGGACACTTAGAGAATGAGACTCAGAGAATGTAGATAGAGAACCAACCTTGGCCTTAAATACGATATGCCCCACCACCTCTCACCAAATGTCGGCTGTTCACGGACAGCAAATTGATTCACGGACTGAAAATTGGTTCTTTCTGCTTTCGCGCCGCTTCCACCACGAAAGCACCCACGGGAATTTTCATACCCAGTTATTATAAGACGGTAGAAAATAATGCCCATTAATAGCAGAAGGATTCAAGAGTTAATGACAATTATAATCTACACAGAAGCTGTTGTATAACTCATGGAGCTTTCCAAGGCCAACAACCTCAACCGGATGAAGGACATCGAAAGCACAAGGAAAACAAGGGGCTCAAACGAGTTTTCAGAGGCAAAGTTGTGATGAGGAAGAGCTTTATAAGGATGAAAACACAGATGAATTATAGCAAAGCCCACGAGAATTACCCCGACAACGAAGGTTTGTAAAGTAGAGGATGACGAAATTATGGACAACGCAATGGCTGGTAACAGGCGACGGAGTAGTTATTTAGTTCTGTACTTCCTGTATTAAGAGCCTGTCCACGAGAGCACCGGGCAGTCGTGCTACATGCCATCTCACCGATTTCGATGAAACTTTGCCAGTTTAAAGGGTCTACCCCAAAACTCAAAAATACAAACCGGTTTCTGTTTTGGTTTTTTCCGGGGGGAGATAGACCACCCCCCCGGTTTTTATTGGTTTTCACCAAGGAAATTGCTTCAAAATAGGTAAAATGTATGAAGCTCTCACTGCCATGGTATTTAACCAATTACTCTGAGGGTTTGCACACATATTTTTTCATCCTTAGTTTATGTCGGCCGCAAGTATCAGTCAATTTGATTGGCGGCTTGTCAATCAACAGAGGCAAAGAAACGACCAAATAAACCTACATTTTTTGGCTCTTCATACAAGATGATTGCTCAAGAAAGGTGAAAAATGTGAAAAACTTTTGAGATTTTTTGTAGGAATGGAAAATTTCACGTTTAGAGAGATGCATGTGGGCGAAAAATCGATTAGAAAACCGTGGCGTTTCTTTCTTCAGTCGTTCATTACTTTGGAGATTTGCTAAAATCAGCAAATATGGCTTTTTTATGGCACAAAACATTCATTAGTCTATAATTTGATTGTTTATCATCATCATTGCTCATTTTAGGAGCTTTTAAAGTCACATGCTGCGTGTTGGTTGACTTCACTACAAGTTCCAGTGTGCTACAACTTCGGCTTTTACAGACGAGAAATTCTGCGCTCTCGCTTGAGAGCAAATATCAATAGTTCTATCAGACTAAAAATTGTGCTTCTATCCCGAAAATAAAATTAAATAGAGTTGTCGTTGTCACTTACCGCCGTCGAACATTTCCATGCAGAACTCCGCTAAGCTAACATCTGTTGCGTGACCCGAAGACTCTCCTTAGGAATTATTCAAGCGCGTTTTTCATGCTGTCTGCTAGATAACAATTTCAGAATAATCTGCAGATCTCTATTATTTGCCTGCTTCGATCGTAAAATATCTGCATATTTTTTCAAGCATTCTATTACTATATATAAATCTACATCTCTCTAAATCGAGTGTTGCCGGCTTTTAGCTGCGTGACTTGTAAAATTTATTATTGATGAAATCCCAAGACATAGTTGTTTTCGCGAGCTAAGACAATAAATATGATAGAAAAGTGAGATGCACATGTCGTTATTTTTTTTTTTTAGCTTAATAGCAGCTGTACCCTCTCCTGCAGTCTTCGTCTAAATTGTGCAAGGTCCCTCCTTATCTTCTGCCTTGTTCGGTCAGTTTCGACTTCTGAAGCTAGATCATCGGCATCGGCCTCTTAGTCCTCATTCATATTTACAGAGAGGGACCTCGTCAATAAAACAATTTTTGTTACGGCAGATAACCGGCTGAAGTATCGAGCGATTTGCTGCTCTATTAACCGGTCAGTTTTAGACAACATTTCTGGCTGGTGTCGTCTCTTAAACTCGATATTTGGGAAATCACATTAGAGGCGGTTGCCTTACAAGTTTCCTCCACTGTCCAGCACACGTCTAAGAGATAATTCTCTTCTTTCTGAGAAAAGGTGACTGTTTTTTATGTTTTCCAAAGAGCCCATCCAAAGTCCACTTGGCTAATTAGGGTTGTACGTCAGAATTTTACCTGAGGTCCGTCCTTGAACATAGCCATCCCCTATGGAATGGCAAGCCGGTCTTCGTCTATTTCCTCTTGATCTTATCGTAGGCGGATTCTTTTTTGTCAGCTTCACTTAGTTTGTCTTTGTTAGGGTGCTTTTGGATGGCAGTCAATGACTGAAACGTCTCGATACATTCTTCCTTTTAGCAAGAATATCTCGCTTTCTTGTTCTGTCTGATACACCTACACTACATAGGATTAACAATGTCTGTTGCGCTGTTGCGAGAAGGAGGAAAATATTACCGGAAGTGTAAACTCTTTAAGGTGGTCTTCCACTCAAAAATTTGTATTTTTTGTCAAAAAACTTTCATTTTGAAAATGGTGCTTTTTGGTATCTTTAACCATTACTCTTTCATTCTACAGCTTCCTTTTTTCCATATTCAGGAGGTAAAGTCAAAAATTTTGCTAAATTCCTTAGCGAGTATGAATTTTCACCTTAGCAACGACCATAGCAACGGTTTGTTTATGAAAACAAAACGCAGTTGCAGTCAAAAGGAAACGACGGAATTTCTCCTGGGACCCCTCCCTGGTTATTCCCGTTGTTTATTGACATTTCAATCAGGCATACATGCAGTGAGTTACGAGCACCCAAAATGGCGGATGATATGTGGCGACACTATTTCCCAACTTATCATCCACCATTTTGGTCGTATTCGTTCACTCTATTCCTATTGCGATTTTGCTTGATAATTTATTTATCAATGCCACCAAAGGCTCGTTCTGGTTACACAAAAAAGCGTAAATATCGTGGAAACCAGTACTCTACTGAATCGAAGCGTTCGAAGAAGGAAAAAACGAGTGTCAGCACCAAAGGTCTTGGGAAAGAATGTTCAGCTTCTGCCCGCAAGATTCCAGCAGGTCTGACCACCGCATCTTCTGAGGGTATCAAGGAGTGTAAGGAGTCAATCATAAGTGGATTTCGGTTTGTAGATATGAGAATTTTGTCTTCTGTGATGGAATGTATGCCATGCAAAGAATGCTTTGTTTGTGATTTAATTTTACAAGAGCAAGCTATGAAACGCAAAGGTTGTGCCTCGAATCTTCGTTTGCTTTGCTGCTCGTGTGGTTGGTTTATGGAATTCTTTACTTCAGCTCAAATAGGCCGTTTCTTTGAAGTAAACAGAAGATTTGTGTATGCTTCAAGATCTGTTGGTTGTGGACGTGCGGCAGGTAAGAGGTTTTGTGGACTTATGAACATGCCGCCACCTCCTAGACCTACACCATATGCTCGCCATAATAAAGAAATACTCCGAGCAGTAAAGAAGATCTCACTGGAGACAATGCGTGATACTGCAAGAGAGATTCACGATATCAAGCCAGGTTCAGATGAGGGCATAGCAAGATGTGGAGTGTCTGTTGATGGAACATGGCAGAGAAGAGGCTTTTCTTCTTTAAATGGCTGTGTGAGTGCTATTAGCATGGATACAGGGAAAGTGGTAGATGTTGAGCCCCTAAGCAAAGTTTGTATCAAGTGCAGGGAGCATGAAAATGATCCTGACACCCCAGAAACTACTGCATGGAGAGCAGACCACAGAGCCTCTTGCAAGGCAAACTTTAAGGGTTCAGCACCAGCTATGGAACCAGAAGGCGCCCTTCGAATGTTTCAAAGGTCAGTAGATCTGCATAAGCTGCAGTATGATGAATATTATGGCGATGGTGACAGCAAAAGTTACTCATTAGTCAAAGATGTATACCAAGTCTATGATATTGAAGTTCAAAAGAAGGAATGTGTTGGCCATGTTCAAAAACGACTGGGAACAGCTTTACGAAAGTTAAAGAAGGAAAAGAAAGGGATGGGTGGGAAAGGCAGGCTGACAGATGCCATGATTGACAGACTGCAAAATTACTATGGAATTGCCATTCAAGCAACTCAGGTGATCTTGCTGCCATGAAGAAGGCAATTTATGCCAGCTTGTTTCACTGTGCTTCTTCTGCAGACAGTAATTACCATGGGCATTGCCCTGAGGGTCCTGAAAGCTGGTGTGGTTTTCAGCGGGACAAGGTCAATAGGACAAACACTTTCAAACATGGAACTGGCCTACCTTTAGATGTCAGAGAGGAAATCAAACCCATTTATAAAAGGTTGAGTGAGGACAGCCTTCTCAGCAAATGTCTTGATGGCAAGACTCAAAACCAGAATGAGTCACTCAATGGTATGGTTTGGGAGCGTGTGCCAAAGGGGGTGTTTGTTGGTTCTGAAGTACTGCAGCTGGGGGGTTTATGATGCTGTCGCTCACTTTAATATTGGTTCAAGAGCAGCTATTAAAGTGTTTGAGAGTCTTGGAATTCCCCCAGGTGAATTCTGTATAAATGAATGCCAGCAGTTGGACAAGATTCGTGTTTTGAAAGCTGAATACAAGTTCCAAGAGAAGAACAAGACAAGGAGGAGGCTACTCAGGGGAAAAAGAAAGAAAAAAATGACAAATCCCAGGAAAAGGAGGGTGACATATATGCACCTGGTGCATTTTAATGAGAACATCAAAGAGCTTAGCTTAAACTTTCCAAAAGGCACCAGTTGCTTTAGTGATTATTTTGATTGATCAACTTAAATCTTTAAACTTGATTTTCTCAGTTTTGCAATTTTGAGAGAGTGCCCGTCACGGCAAAAAGGATTTCTTGAAAAGTATTAAACCAAAAGGGATGAAATTTTCAGGGAGGTTTGCTTGAGTATAGTTCTGTGTTGTGAACCTAAAATTATTAGTGATTTTTAGTTACATGGTTGTTGACAGATGTATCCATGGTGATAATACAAACAAAAATGTTGTAATCAAGGAACAGTTGCAATTTTATAATAGCTTGGCATAAAAAATATGGGTTTTCTGAGGTTCATGACATAAAGCCATCTTTGTACTTAGTTTTGATACCAATTTCAGGTGAATAGGACCGCTAGTTCTTGAGATATCCTTTTTACAAGAACACCATTATTTTCACAGTTGGGGGCCCAAAACTTGGTTACCATGGCAACGACATGTCTATCAAAATTCTTAAAAGTATCAGTTTGAGGTGATCTCTCCAATGGTACTTAAATAACTTAGGTAAAGCATAAACTGAATTTTTTTAAAATTTGAGTGGAAGACCACCTTAAGGGGGGATTCTACCTAAAAAAAGTGCATTTTTTCAAATAATTGTAGGAATTTAAGTTTTGGTCACAACTATCTAAAACTATATATCACTGGAAAGCTTATGAACTATATTTTTCAAAAAAAAGGTGTTATGTCACACCTGCAGCAAATGTAACCTGACACCGGTCATTTCAATTAACAACTTGTAGTGTCTCACCTATATGTACTTGAGTAAAGATTGTTAGAAACTGTTTCAATGAAATACCAATATTTTGCTGTTATTCTAAAGAATATTGAATACTTGTTGGGATGAGTGAAGGATTTCAAGAATTTTTAAATTTGACATCACAGCACTGGTGTCAAGTTACACATCTAACACATGATCACTATTTGTTTAATCATTTCTTTAGAAAGACCTCTATGGCATTTTCCTTCACTCATCCCAAATAACTCAATTAGATCAGCAATCCCTAAAAATTTCAGGTCCATAGCTCTCATACTTCTTGAGTAATCTTTTCTCAAGTATTAAAAAATACGTTTTGAGAAAAAAAAAAGGCCTAAAGTTACAAGATTTTAAAATTAAACACCTCCTGTATTCAAATTATGAAGTCAATGAGTAGCCATAAGTTCAAATATAATTAGGATAGGCAAGAGCAAGAGTTAGAATGCCCCAGCAGCATATGAAACATCTTCTTTTTCACGAAGAGCCGCTTCTCTTTGAGTACGGATAAGCTGCAATCCCTGCGGGCGCTTCTTCTCCTTGGCCGTTGCCTGCTTATCAGCTTTCCAAGCCTTGAATTATCTCTTAGTCGAAATGCATCCTCAGTAAATGCACCTCCAGGATTTGAAAGCCTTTCCATCAATCTTTCTCTGCTTTCTGCACCTCTGTGGAAGTGGCAGACTGCAGACGCAGCAGCACACGGACAACTTTCACTCCATGGTGTTTATGTTTGGGACACGGACCCAAACCATTGCGTTGATGCTTTCATTTGGGTTCTGGGTTTTTCCTCGTACACATCTTTCTAAAAGTTTACTGTCACTTAATGACACAAATGTGGGTTTTAGAGTCTCCACGAAGACTTCGGGCAAACAGTCATCTCCTTTGTAGGTACTGGTTCCTGTTGCCTGGTCCTGTTGCCATTTGCACCATGATGAATCACCTGGTGGACAGAAGCGGTGTTGTTTAGCATTGTCAGTTGAATTTACACAGTGATGGAGAATGGCAATAATATTTTTTTTCATAGCATAAACTGCAATGTCAACCTCCCGTTCAGAGGGATTTGCCTTGGTCAAGGTGTTTTGCCGGATTGCTAGGCCATAGTACCTTTTTGAAGCTGCTTGATCTTTCCTTCTGTAAGCCGCCACGCCCTCCTATAGGTTTTCCATCAGCAAGTTTACCCTTACTGCATGCCTTCAAATTCATTAAATGTTTGCCCATCCTTTTCTGCACATGGCCTACACAATCCAGTTTAATAACTTCACAGTCATCATAGGCATGTTGAACAGTGTTAAAGGCCTTACTGTCCCCGTCTGACACCATCCATTTGTACCTCATGTTATGAAGTTCGATGGATCTATTCCAAAGAACAGAAGCTCCTTCTGCTTCCATAGCAGGTGAACTTCCTTCAAGTTGATGTCACAATCTCCAGATGCAACATGCTCCCTCCTCCATTCTTCAAACTCTTCCACATTCCCTTCACATTGTGAGTTCTTTAGGGAGCACTTACGGCAAGATTTAGACATCACGTGATAGTCTAAAACTTCTCCTGTGTCAATTGAGATGACGAAAACAACACCTGTTAGTGATGTGAAACCTCTTTTTGGCCCAAGTGCCATCAAAGCTAACAGCAGCATCAATTATTGTGGTGCTGTCTGAGATGCCATTTTTCCTCCATGATTAGCTTTCGAGCCTTTGGCCTGCACCTTTTAGTTCTTCTTTTGCTTCACTTTCCAGTGCTTCCAAAATTACATCAACTTGCTTGTAGTAAGCAGCTCTTGACAAACAAGGCATGTTCATTATCGCACAGAAAGAAGAGAGTCCGTCGTAGCCACTTCCAGTTTCTATTGAGTGGTAGACAGCTCTCCGGTTGACATCAAATGATTTGCCTTTCTTGGCAAGGTTGGGTGATGTCTGCCAAGGAGTACTTTCATCACAAGAATTGCAGTGAATGGAGAGATCTGACATCAGTCCATAACGGCTAGCGGTATTTTCTTCAATAGTAAGGTCTCCTATATTAAAAACATGACGGAAAAGGATGCTATTAGCTATAGTTACTGAACCAAACAGAACCACAATGTTGGAGCATTAGTTCACACCTCCATAAATGTGTACAAGTGTTGCAGTGAAGAAAGATCAGAAAAAATGATTAAACAATAATAAAACTCCTTTTCTGCAAATAATTCTAACTATCGTTTTTCTTTAGGTTCAAGGGGCTGAAAAGCATATTTATGATGTGTGATATTTTTCTCACCTTCTTCGCATTTGTGTAAAGTTGAGAGCACAGAAGAGAAGCCTTTTAGATCAACGAGCCTGTATCCTTTTTCTACCTCAGCTACCTCGAAAACTTTTTGTTTTCATCAGAACTTGAAGAAGACTCATCTTCTGAGCTCTGGAATCTCATCTTCTTCCTTGAAGAACTAGGAAGCTGATCGCTTTCTTCGCCAAAATCTGACAGATCAGACTGATCGTGCGAAGTTCCTGGGGTCGGTTCGTTTGGTTCACTCTTCCTGTTGCAACCGCTTTTCTTCAGTAATTGCGCTTTTTACGATCTCCTCCATGCCCCTTTCTTTTCCTAGTTTTCCTGTAAACGGTTCTTTTCTTCTTTCCAGTCATTCCAGCACAAAAGAGACAAAAGGAGTTCAATATTTCGCAATACACTGTGACAACTTTCACACAAAAATCTCTCACTCGTCTCCAGTGTTACTCTTTCAATTTCTTATTTTCCCCTTCATGTAAGACAGCACAAGGATTCTAAGGGGCGTTTCGGGCTTGTTTGACATATTTTGAGCTCCAAACAGGCTGGTAAACAAGTAAGAAACAAAAAATGCTGTTTTGGTTGCCATGGAAACGAGATTTCTATTTAGATACCTCTTCTTTTCTAACGTAATTTCTCATTTATATTTTAAAATTTTTCGGTAAAAACGATCGTCAGTGTAAAGTCGAATAGTTGAACCTCGCATTTCTGAAGAAAACAAAAAAACAATATTTTGAGCTAATTTCAGGTAGAATCCCCCCTTAAGAGTTTCAGAGACGTTTCAGAGATGTCTATCTTCGGCTGTCACAAAAAATTTACCCCCACTTAAATTCACTGGGAAAAATTACAAACTCCTTGTTGAAAAAATTGGAATTCATTTGACCGATACGCCGGTTGTTTCAATTTTGCTTTTTCCTCGCGCTGTTATAAAACAGTTCATAAATTGATCAATAAATTAAATATTCTGAAATATCGTTCGGAATTTGCCTTTTCTTTTCTGAGTGCAAATCAAGGGTAGACAAAGTTTTTAAAACATTTAACAAGAATTTCATGGGGTTCACCTCGATAATTTTCGTCTGCCAGAGTCAAGACGCGCCAAGCTAAGTGACATCGCTCTCGAGTAAAATAATTTTCCAAAGAATAAATGTGGCGAGCGTGAGGAAACGCACATTTTTTTCCCACGATCAAAGCTCACTGCAAGAACTGAGAAAGTAAAAACTTGTATTTATCTCCCACACGTTTCGTCTGACAAGAATAGACTTCATCAGGGATTTTTTCAAGTAGGGTAAATACGCTTGCTCATATACAAATAGTAAATAAGTTGTCTCTTTACTATTGAAGCCAGTGGATAGAATT